GTACAGAAAAGAACAGTCTCAATTATCTCTCATATTCCAGATACTCTGGACCTTAGCTTAATCTGATTAGTGACTTTCTTCTGAGACCATCAGGATTAATTCCGTCTTGTCTCACTTTTAAGTCACCAACCTGCAGATTATTCATCATTGCCTGGTCACTTATCTACACACTGTTATACACGTAACAAAATTAAACCCAGCTCTTTCTCCGTCATCATTAGCCCTTCTTTTCTGCCCTCTGTAACTCATAGTCTGTCATTAAGAAACTCCCCAGTAGCTTCAAACTCTTCCCTTCCTCTTGTTATAACTGGAATATAGCTGTGTTCTGAGGGAATAATTCCCTCTGCAGTTCTTTCATGTGAACACCAGTTTCTCTCACCTACCCCAGAAACTAGATGTGGAATAAGTGGCTACTTTGCTCCTTTTTGTCACTTACAAATCATTTCTGTTTCTTCTTCAAAATTCAGAGCTCATTTGAAGTATAGACATTTTCAGGAGTAGACTGACTTATGTCACCTGAAATTCTTGACCGCATATCTTAAATGAGCAATCTTTCTGTTACGTGTCCTTTTCTACTATTGAAACCAACTATTCAACACCTTATCCTCTTCTCATTTCCTCAGAAACCCTCCCTCTCATGCCTGTCATTTTATGACCTTTCCTCTTCCTTCACTGAGAGAATAGAAGAATCAACAGAGAATTCCCTTGTATCTTTATCACCAAATTCACCATCTTACCTGCATTCGTACCCATACCATAATCATTTCCTTTTCTTCTGTACAATGTACTAACATAACCTGTTCTCATCTAAGGCCAGATCTTCTGCTTTTAGTATAGATCCCATCTACTAGTGCTCTGATACTCCTCTTGCTTTATCAATATTTTTGTTTCTTCTGCAGCTATCCTCTTGCTCTTTACAATCACCGATTTCACTTAATCATTCACACCAGCACACAGGTATGCTCCAAATCTATCCTCTTAAAAATACACTCTTGTAACACCAAATCAACCTCCAACTATCGTCCCATGTATTTCCTTTTCTTAGCATCAAACCTCTCACTTCCTCACCTCATATAATGTTCTTAATATACATCGTTCAGGTTTACACTAAATATTTTCCATTCTTTTATTCTCCTTTTTTTCAAGGTTACCAATAACTTTCATACTATCAAATTCAATGGTGATTTGTGGTTCCCCATGTTAGTTGTGTAAAGTATTTAATGAAGCTGACTATTTTTTCTTCTTAAAACATTATTTGCCCTTGGCTGTTGTAATGCTCCACTCAACTGTTTTCTTCTGTTTTCAGTTATTTTGATTATATACCTAGCAGTATTATGTTGGGCTATATGGTAAGTTTATGTTTAACTTTTTGTGGAATTGCCAAACTGTTTTACATGGAGGCTGCACCATTTTACATTTCCTCCAGAGGTGTATGATGGTTCCATCCTCACTAACACTTGTTATTTTCCATCTAAAAATTATTTATATAATTAGCTTAGTAGGTATGAAGTGGTATCTGATTGTGGTTTTGATTTGCATTTTCCCTAATGGCTGATGATGCTAAGCATCTTTTCATGTATTCATTGGTTATTTATACATCTTCCTTAGATAAATATCAGCTCAAGTTCTTTACGTAACTTTTAATTGGATGTTTTATCTTTTTGTTGTTGAATTTTAAGAGTCTTTTATGTATTCTGCATACTAGATCTTTACAAATTACATGATTTGCAAATACGTTTCTCCTTTTCTTCTGGTTGCTTTTTCATTTTTTTGGTGAATTTTTTGCAGCAGATTTTTAAATTTGATATAGTCCAATTTAATCTTTGTATTACTTAACCAAGTTCTTTATGTTTCTGACCTAGTTCTATATGTTTCTATGTGTAATTCTGACCAAAAAAGTCAAACCCATTCACTCAACAGATAGATTTGTGAGCACTTACTACATACCAGTTCCTACTCTATGCACTAGAAATAAAGTGACGATGGGACAGTTGGAACAGATTGCTAGCTGATCACCAACATTCAGATTATCCTTTTCTTCTTGGTAGATTCCATTTATCCTTCTCTCTTGAAGTTAAATGTGGCTTTGTGAGCTTTTGCCAATGAAATGTTAGTAGGAGTGATACATGTTCCTTTCATCCTGGCCTATAAATATTCCCATGTGCTCTCCTCCATGATCATTTCTGCTTCCACAATTGGTATGGAGGTGGCAAAAAGTACTATTTTGCAAATTACCTCAATAGGGTTGTGACAAGCATTGAATATAGATGTGGTTATAACTATGGTTTAAATGTGTTTCCTCCAAAATTCAGGTGTTTCCAATGTGATAGTATTAAGAGGTGGGGTCATTAAGAGGTGATTAGGGCGAGAGAGCTCCTTGCTCATGAATAGGATCAGGGCCCTTAAACACAGGCTTTATACAACTTTAGACTGGCTTTTCCTTCTGCCTCCTTCCATGTGAAAACACAGTGTTCCTCCCCACCAGAGGATGCAGTAAAAATGTACCATCTTGGAAGCAGAAAGCGAGCCCTTACCAGACAACCAAATCTGCTGGCACCTTGATCTTGGAATTCTCAACATCTGAAATTGTGAGAAAGAAATTTCTTATTTTTATAACTTACCCAGTCTCAGGTATGACAATTATTTAGCATAATTTCAGCATATATTTAGTGACCAATAAATGTTGGCTTTTGTAATTATTATCACAGTCTTTGAATTGTCCAGTAATCATCTGAGATGGGAAGAAGATAAGAACCCTCACATAATACATCAGATACTGAAATTAGGTCTGGACTCCTGTAGACAGAGTAGCAGACTGGCTGATGGTACCAGTTTTGTCTTTCTGCACAGTTTCTCTGTTGATAAACCAAGATAATCTTAAGCTATCTTAAAGAGTATTTAAAGGACCATAATTTGGTTATGCTAATGTAATGAAATGCAGCTTAAACCAAAAACAATATGAGAAGCTTGGTTACAGTGGTTGCGAAAATTCTAAATTATGCTAGAACATTTTGCATTTATACAACACTTCTGTAAAATAGCTCTGTAGCAGAATCAGACTCCATGTTTTACATTTGACAACTAACAACTTCCAAGACCCACCACTTCCTCTTCCTCTTCTTACCTATATCTGATAAGAAAGCCCAGGTGATTCCTTCTTTAGGGCTAGTGTGAAGTTCAAACCTTGCAAGCCCTAATCTGCGTGTGGGATATTCATAGCTTTACCCCCTAACCATCATAAAAGCCAAGCCAGTTTTTTTTTCTCTTTGTTCTCTCAAGCACTTTTGTACTTGCTTGGAAACCTGCCCTGATCTCCCCAGAAAACCTCATTATGTGAGTAATAAACTTTTCCATTTCCTTTTGGTGCATGTATCATCAGTTTTGATATCCAAACCAAATTTCTAGTGTAGAATCCATCCTGCCTTTGTAGGGTGATCACACAATTGAATCTGTGAATAGGATATCTAGGCACTGTTCACTACCACCAGGTGTCTTTTTTCTTTTACTTCAGCTTCCTAACTGGCACTGCTACCTGCTGGTGACATGTAGTTTGAGCTACTGCCTGCTGCCTAGCTTTTACTTTAAACCGTACTGCTTTGTGCAGCATTGGTAGAGTCCTACCAAATCTATGCTAAAGATTTCAACAAGATAAGTCAGCAGTTTTAACTAACTGACATTAACTGAAAAGAATATTGGGTTGGAGCCCTTCTTAAAGCAGCTGTGAATCTTGTGTTTCAGCTTGGATCTGTGAATTCAGATTGAATCATGTGTCTCAATTCCAATATAACATATAACTAAAACTAGACTCAAGAATGCAACTTGGGCCAGGCATGGTGGCTTATGCCTGTAATCCCGGCACTTTGGGAGGCCGAGGCAGGTGGATCGCCTGAGGTCTAGAGTTAGAGACCAGCCTGGCCAACATGACAAAACTGCGTCTCTATGAAAAATACAAAAATGAGCCAGGTGTGGTGGCAGGCGCCTGTAATCCCAATTACTGGGGAGGCTGAGGCAGGAGAATTGCTTGAACCTGGCAGGTGGAGGTTGCAGTGAGCCGAGATTGATCGTGCCACTGCGCTCCAGCCTGGACAGCAAGAGTGAGACTCCATCTCCAAAAAAAAAAAGAAAGAAAGAATGCAACTCTTTCTGTTTTGCCATCAGTTGTTTCTAAACCAGGTATTAGTATCCTTTCTATAGACATCTCAGGAGAAACACTGAAAGTCTATTCAATATACAGGCCCATTGCTTGGTCATTCATATGGCAGGAGAGCAGTTACTATTTGAAATTCTGAGAACACACTCCTAAAAGCAGATAACACACTAGGAGGTTTAAAAATGCTTCTTGTGATGCTGCTTAGGTCACGGCCACAAAAAAGATTCTGATCATCAGAGTTTTAGGGAGAAACATCCATGTCACCCTTGTGAAAAAAAAAAAAAAAAAGGGATTAATTCAACCATTTTCATGGAGGAGTCCCATAATCCTGATGATATTGACTTGATGTCAGGTTCTCTGAAAGAAACTTATGAATAAGGTAGGGAGGAATGTCCATGAATTGTATCTGGTAGCCACATGCACAAAAACACAGGCTCTGGGAAAGTTGCCTGGTAGAGGGAAGTGTTGGGGAAAAGTGAGGTAACTCACATATCTATTGAGACTTAAATATGGGTATATCAGCTCAGAAGGATTTTAGATAAGACGTACAAAATACCCAATATTGGTGAAGTCTGGGAGACAACAGAATGAATGACTGAGTGGTGTAGGCAAGCCATGGGGAATGGCTTGGGGAAAACACCCTTCTTTTTTTTTTTTTTTTTTTGAGACAGTCTTACCCTTATCGCCCAGGCTGGAGTGCAATGGCACAATCTTGGCTCACTACAACCTCCACCTCCTGGGTTCAAGTGATTCTCCTGCCTCAGCCTCCCGAGTAGCTGGGATTACAGGTGCGTGCCACCACACCTGGCTAATTTTTGTATTTTAATAGAAATGGGTTTCCTCGGTTGGCCAGGCTGGTCTTGAACTCCTGACCTTGCAATCCACCTGCCTTGGCCTCCCGATGTTCTGGGATTACACGTGTGAGCCACCATGCCCGGCCAAAACACCCTTCTAAGCCATATGCCATACCAAAATTAAACTAGACAAGATGAAGAAGGGTGAGAGGTCACTTTAACATGACCATTAGTGGTATTGAGGAAGCTCTCCTTTTTCTCTAACCAGAGCATTTATACTTCTCTGTACCCTTTTCCTCCCCCCATGGAATTGTTAGGAGTGGTGCTTTGTGATGTCTAAGACACCCCAGGGCTACCATTGGCAGAGGAGTTTCTTGCTGGCCAATCAGAACTGTAGAATGTGGCATGTCATTGTCCTGAGAAGGATATAGAGAGATCAGGAGGCCTGGAGTAGGCTACTCCTGCTCTACGATGGCAGAGGTTACTGAAGAACCAGTAGAGGGAGAAGA